ATAAGCACTGGAAAAATTTACTCTCAGGCTCATAATTGCTTGAAGTCAAAAAGCGTCAAGGTTTCAATAGTTTCAGGAAATATCGGGTGCATGGCGTGCGTCGAAGGAATATGTTATGATGGTTCGACTCCAGCACGGGTCCGATTAGTCAGCAATAGGTTCCCCCTCCTTCCTGGAGGCTTTTCCTTACCAAATTCACTCTTCTAAGAGCTGATAAAACCGTTCACCAAGAACTCTAGAAAACTGGACAACACTTCAATGAAAGCATTTTTATGTCCCCGTATCATTGAAAGTTTTGCCTAACCCGCAGCGCCTGCGTTATCAAATCACATTTCCTGGCCCTGTTCGCCACAGGCATGTGGCCGCTTTCAACTGGTGACCCTACTCGCTATCACTCGTGGTTTGATAGCCCTCATCGCTGTCATCTGGCCGTCTCCCGCGGGCCTAATGGCAGCCATGGTGCTTAAGTGCTCCGGTAGGGCCGCGCACAATGTCTGTTGCTGGGGCGTGGCCACGTAGGCGTGTCCGTAGGTAGCCGGACTCTTTTCTCCTTTTACCCAGCAGCGGCACGTCATGTCGGATAACGTGAAAAAGCCCAAACCGTCAATTTTACTATATTTACTGCTTGCCGTCACTGTACTTGTGCTGCTATGTGCTGCCACTATTGCTTTTCTGGTTCTTGGGGGTCGAACTCCGGAACCAATTCCTGTCGGGAATGCCACAAGCTCCTCACTGTTCCTTGTTCCGAACGCAACTCAGTCCAGCAGTACTGTTAGTACCGCTCAAACTACCACACAATCACCTGATACTACTCGACGGCACCGGTTACGACCTACAACCCCCGCAACCACCAGGGCATCAACGACGCTGACCGCAGCAGCCTCCACGCCGACGGGTAAGTTTTTCTTGGCGTCTGCTGGTGTGTAATGTTGTTTTTGGACGATTAATCACCAGCAAAAAACGAACGTGATGTTTAGATGGTCCTACAACGACTGAAACAGCTACGGTAGCCATCCTACCCGACACCTTAGCGGAGCCAACAAGTGAGGCACGAGCTGTGACAACTACGGAGCCATCGACGAGCTCCACAAGCACCACAACTGACACCACAACCACCACTACAACCACCACCACTACCATTACCACCACCCAAGAAACGTTTACAACCACACCATACGTGGATGAGAACGCCGAGGTACGCAACGTTTTTACTATGTTTTTTTTTCTTGGAAATAAATTTTTTCGAGTAATTCATTGCCAGGTGATTGACAAGTGTTCATTGGTCGTTGCCGAACGTGTCACCTGCCCGAAAACCAGAGACGATGTGTTGTGAGTGTTACTTTTTTTGACATGTGTCCAGGATTTTTTAAAACGTTTTTTGCCCTGGAACAGTGCAAGCCCAATATTCACTGTTCCAGCTATTTCAAAGGAGATGTGAATCACAGTATTGATAGGGAATTGTTATGACGGAATCTTTGAATGAAATTCGCGGTAGTAAAGTTTCAATCCCTCCAGGTCTTTCACGACGCTTTCAGCAATGCGGAAAAACCTGAAGAACTGTCACGCGTTCAAATTCCCGCCGTACATCTGTCACAATTGTAAGGGTCGGGGCTATGCATGGCATACCACGGAAAGAGATTCTTCATCCTTTATCACCCCATCTTTATTTACCTCATCTTGCTTTTATTTATTAATAAACTGCTCTTTCTTCTTCAGTCTATATTTTTCTTTTTTCCTCTCTTTCGCGTTCATTTTTCTCACAACAAACAATATATTTTGGACAGTTGTGCCCTTTTTCGGTAGCAGCCTTTGATAACTACTCGTTAAGTAATCAAAGGATTGGATGGTATACTTTGATAAGGACAAGATTTCACTGGTTCTGAATTCGGACTCTAGCAAGCAGTTGGATGAGCAAACTTTTTCCATGTCTGCATTTTTAAGTTAGCCACCAATTTTTTTTGATCCTTCTATACCTGCCTCATTCATCTTCGCTTTTTCTCTACCTTTTTCATCCTTTCGCCTCCCTCTCTCAGTTTCTGCTACCTCTGTTTACCCAGTCTGTAAGGTGCAATCAATTCGGAACGCTATTGAAAACAGACTCTGGAAGGTCCACCAGCTCTGCAGCCCAGCTTAGCTGCAGCCGGATCATAACAGAAAGCAGCTCCTCATTCGGAGATTTCCAAACCAGTAGGCCTTGAAGGTAACCCTAATACATGCCGGCTAGTGAAAAACCTGTTCTCTGAATTTTTTGTATTGAAAAATCGCTTAGGCCTTAAAGAAAGTTCGTCACTGCAGCCAGTTGGCTCAGCGAGCGCTATCGCAATATACGGAGACATCCTCTAGGACTACACTTAAGATAGAGCAGGAAAAAAGAAGAGAATGAAAAATGGTTGACGCACCCTGGATTCTGTATTTCCCTGGGGCTTGGTCCGGTTTATTTATTTATTTATTTTTTGGTCAATCACAGAGTGTGACAAACAGAGTGATAAGATAGTATAGATGGACGCATTGACCAAAAGCACAATCGATGGACTACTGTGAAATATCCAGTAATTAACAGGTGGGGAAAGAACTGGTTTGGTGGAAGGTTTCTAATAGGAAGAGAATGTTTGACGGCGATTTCAAATTCATTGCCACAGTGCTGTGCGTATTCTTGCCGATAGCGCACTCAGAGCTTCCTTAGGATACCGTAGGGCATCGGGCGGTGGCGGGGGGCAGGCAGGGGGCGGGGGCGGCCGGGGGCGCGGGCGGGGGGGGGCGGAAAGAAGAAAAGAGAGCAGGGAAAGAACGAGAGGGAAGAAAAGAAAAAAGAGAGGAACGAAAGAAGAAGAGAAAGAGAACAACGAGAGAGAAAGAAGCAGAGAACGCGCGGAGAATCAAAGGCGGGGGAGAGACAAAAATAAAAAACTCTCTCGCGCGGCGCTCTGCGCTCTCTCGCTTCTGCTGATGGTAGCGTATTCGCATAATCTACAATCATATGGCTCAAGCAGGTGGGCGAATCACATGTCGTAGCTGTGTGGTGTGCTGTACATGTCGTAAATCGCCCACACTCACAAATACGGATGCGATGAACACTGGCGTACGGCAGCAGATGAGGTGGGGGCGATCAGTAAACGCCGAACTTCCACACCAGTGTGAGCACAGATTAGATCTGGCTACTTATGGCGCGCATTTAGCGGATGGCGAAAGTAACAATAATTAAACTGACGTGATTTCATAAGTTGAATTATGCTCGAAAAAAAAACATGGTTTTTATACAGGAAACGGATTTTTTTCTGAAAAATGGAATCTGTTTTGAGGGTCTTTAAGGGGAAAAAGCCCTGTGGATTTTTCGATGATGGGAAATCCACCGAAAAACATGCAACTTCCTTAGACTATGATAAACTACTAAGTAGAAGGTAGTTTAAGATGTTCACTGGCAGGAATATTCATTCGGTCCTTTTGGTACCGGATTCCTTACGGAGTACGAAAACGCTAGGAGGATAGGGGTAGGGGGGGGGTAACTCTACAGAAGAACTGGTAATGCTTTAGCTTTTCTTCTTCAGAATGGCTCCCTTCTTCTACTACTAGTTTCCTATAAGATTGTTACAATAACTGACAGGATAAAATAAACATAAGGATGGAAATATTGAACACTCGAAATTTGGTAAATATGTTATATAAAACGTTTAATAAAGAGTGAGGGATTTGCCACGGTTATTGGAGGGTAATGAGTGAGCAAGTACACATCTTGGCCAAGTATGGGATGCGCCACGCATCCATACATCATCTCAAAATTTGCCGTGAATAAATTGCAAACCATTTCAGTGCATTTGATGTTCTTTGCCCCATTCTCTTCAAACTTTTGAAATTACCGAGGTCATAAAAGAAGGAATACTGAAGCTGCAACTTTTTGAAAACTCAAGAAAAACAAGGATATTTTCAGAGCCGTCTCGCCGTCTGCCCTCTCTCCACTACACTATGCATTGAATTTGTCCGTGCAAACTGTTCAGCCTACCGTAATCGAGGGGTGATGTGCAGATTTTCCTCCGAGGTTAACGACAAGGAAAGCAGGTAAATTTCATTTAAGAGTTTTTTTATCATTTTGACACTTTTTGACTGCAGTTTGCTAATTAGTAAATAAGTAACAACAAATTAGTAAATATATAAATAAACATAAATAAATATATATAAATAAGTAATAACAAATTAGTAAATATACCACTATACCGTTAACAGTAAATGTGATTATGTGTAAAGAAATTTCAGAACGAAGTTATTACGTTCACCTTTTACTACTAAATTATAAATCCAATATTCTGCAAGAAGTGCATTTGATGTCTATTGATTGTTTTTTTTTTGCAGATCACTCTCGATGTGGACAGCAAACTTCGTAATGTGGAAGATATTCGAGTGGTGAATTGTGATACGGGTGAGTTTTTGCCGGGATCGGGTTCGGCTGTTCTACATATCGTTATAATGAGTTACTCTGGGCCAGGTCAAGTATCGCTTTGAACTGGATAAGCGACAGAATGACGAGCGCAGCATTTGGGAGGGTCGGATACTGGAATACTCACCACCTGAGCTAAATGGTATCTAGAATGCTAATTTTTAACCCATCAGACCGGCATGGTTACCCTTAGGCGAGGGGTGTGCTACCGTCTCTGATCTCTTCTCGAACTTGAATATAAGCTCTAATGCCTAATCAAAGAAAGGATAAGGATTATCCAGGGCTAGTAGTAACCAGGACTGGATCTACCCCACAGTTGGACGTGTTTTTTAGCGCTACCTTCCCAAATTTCCGTCTCCTATGACACTTTTGGAGCTGCACTGCACTGCTGGGCGCTTGAAACGAAGCCCTTCGTTTAGCTCATGTACTTCTCACCTAGTCTGTCACCGCATTACACCTTCCAACTGATTCAACCGCACTGGTGGTGCGATGTAATTTGTCATCCATTTCACTCCGCATAGTTTCGTGGATATTTTGGTTGTCAGACCGGCTGTCATGTAGAAACGTCAGCGTGAATTTGTACGCTTGGTCGACCAGCGGCAGCAGGCCGTAAGGTGTAAAAATTGGACGCTTCGAGGATTTTCCGCGGTCACAACGCGTCCGACTTTCGCCGTCAAAAGATAAACATGGCTCAAAAAATGTTTGCCACCAAACAAGCTGTCGAAAAAAAGCACGAGAGGCTGGTTTTGCTCTGTAGGGAACTCATGAACTCTGCTGTATCATGCTTGTTTTCAAAATAGGGGAAAGAAACATAATAGTATCGTATGAAGCATAAACGACAAAGCGTTTATAAAGCTTTGTTGGGATGCGCCATGCATTATAGTTCCGTTCAAAAACGTAATGGCATTTTGAGTGAGATCTGACCGACACCATGTCATTTTGGGACTAGTCGAAGTACGTCAAGGTTTCAAATCCAACCACTTACCGTACAAGGAGAACGTAAGGATACGAGGCTTGCTTTGCCCGGATAGGAGCCAGTCCTAGACTTTACTTCCGATCCATGAACGTGAAGGGCCCAGCATGCTTGGCACTACACCATTTTGGCTTCACCACTCATCATCTATATGATGCGCGGTATAAAACCTATATGATATAGAAAGGAAATATCCACAAACGTCCCCTTAATCACCTTGCAGGAAAAAGTATAACTGACAAGGTTTTATGAAAGGAGAAGTCCAGGAGTACATTGACCATTTTTGGTTGCTTCTTCTAGCAAGTGCTCGCAGGTCCAGTGGGTTTCCATATGAGAACAGCAATGTCGTGCCGCCTAAGACCTTGCCAACTATAAGCGCCGAAAAAACAATCATTAATCCCCAGAGACTAAACTACACGAGATGAACGCTTTTGCTATAGAGATACGTCACGTCTGAGAAAAAAGAGGCCATTCAAGGGACTATTGGCTTGACGGCGGTGTGTAGGTCAGTGGTTTTGTCCTCAGACATGGCCCGATCGCATTCTGAAAACCACTTCAATTCTCTGCAGAAGTAGCATACGCGTCACATTTCAAGAAGATCTTATCAGTTGTCACTACTTCACGTGAAACCTTACCGTGGACCTAAAAAAACCTGTGGCCTTAGGGTATGTATTTCTTTGAGAAGCTCATGCAGCTGCGTTTTACAGCCTCTTCTGAGAGAACAGCGTTATCGTGTATGGAACCCGTGGGCTGAGATTCAGGGGGAAGGGGTAAGATGTTCAAGGCGGAAGTAGTCATGGTTCGAGCCAACGCCCACTTAGCTCTGCTCAAAGTACCCACATTCTCAGTGCTGAATGTTGCGACACTATCCGTTGGCCAGCTAGACGTTTCGGTGGCCGAAGGTGGCGCCGATGGCTCGCGTTTCACCCTCCTGAGGTCGATGGCGCTGAGTCACCGGCAGCGAACAGCTGCATTGCGGCTCCGCTTACAAAACCCATATTTCAGAGGATAAAGATCCCGAGACGGAGTTGCGGCCTCTAAACATCCTTGTAGTCGTTTATCAGCAAAGCCAATCACATGTTTGGGGAGGGGCCTGGACGAGTTCGTTGCGAACATATCCACAAATTTTCAATTCTACGTCATGATTTTTTTCTGGTAATTCCCGCTAATTTGAGGTTAGTTACATACGACAACTCGTCCATACGCTGCGGATCAGTAGGGGTGCGACATTTTCTCGACCTCATTCCCTTATGAAACAGCGCTCCAGAAGGAATGAAAGCCCATCAACAGGTTTCTAAAATCCACGCATATCGGTTAGTGATGGAAGCGACGAGTTGTCGTGTCATTTTTGAATGAAAACGCGGGCTTGGACCCGTTACCAAGCGTTACTAACCTGCTGGACAACTCGTCCACTCGTAGCCCCGCCCACCGAGTTTCAAATGAATTGCTTGGCCTGCCACGTTGATCCGTAGCTTATCAATGGCTACCAATCGACGTCGAATAGTTCAACGATTGAGGCATAGTGATGAGTCAGCGATGGCTACTGACAGCCGCATGTGGTCCGGTGAACCGCCAATAAATAGCCATCAGCCTTGAATCGAATGCCGATTTCAACATCTGTGTCTATGTGAATGGCGATTACGAGCGAGCATCCGTGGAAGTTTTATGATTCAATGGCCTAGGAACGGACCTGTTGATATATTTGAACGTCTCCGAGTGGACAAGAACTCCCATTAAAGTTAAATGGGTGATTCTTACCCCGGAGGAGATCTTGCGAAGTGCGATAGATACAGATTAGCAAAGACTTTTTATATTATCTATCCTTTATTGATCGCCTGACGTGGAGCGACGCAACCGCTACGCATGCTAGCTTGCAGCACACTTTTTTGGAATCTTTAACATGATTCTTGAAATTCATGGAAAAATTAATTACAAATTAATTAATTAACAATCAAAGTTTGAAAAATAATATAAAACTGAAGAATTTAAATAACTAAAAATTGTCTGCTAAATTCATATAATTTTGATTGGATTGAATTAGGCTCTGTTTTTGTTTATTTTGGTGTGTTCATGCTTACATACTTATGGCACGGCACTAAAACTATTTTTCACGTCAAAAGCGTCCACAAAAGCAGCCCGATATCCGTGATTGACGCGAATTCGGAGCAGATCGCCTTACTAATCGATAAGCATCATTGTTTCAGGTGCTTCGCTATGCGTGGCCAAGACAGTGTTCGATCAACGAGAACAGCGACTTTCTCTAATTCTCTTCGAAGAGCGTCCAAGCGGTAAAGTTTGTAACTCATTTTTTCTATGAAATTTTTTGATTAGAAAATTGAAGTCTGAAGAAAAGCATTGGTTTTTTACTGGGCATAACGAATGATTCAATACGTTGGCCAGTCGTCTTTAAGTCCGCCACTCACTAACCTTTCCGAGAATTGCTTAAGTGGATACTGGGCAAAATTATACAGTACTGTCCTGAAAAGCTTACTGTAATAAATACCATTTCCAATCAACCTAAGCTATTTTTTGAAAGTGCTAATGACTTTGAATACTTTACAAGGAGTACAAAAAATGTAAACAGTTCTAGCAGAAAAACAAGACGCACAACGCTTAGTTTCGGAGTGTTTAAGCCGATTAACCAATGGAGCGAGAATGCTGTTCCCTTCAATTTTTATGTAATGGCAGCCGGTGCAAAACATTCGAGCTGGTTCTTATTATTTTTGTTTATTTTTACGATTCTGTAATATTTAATATTTTACTTTGCGTAGTAAATTTTGCGTTGTAAAAACTTATGGCTAAGTTTTCAGGCTCCACGACCTACGAGATGGGATGTTGGCTGAGGTTCTTGCGCTGTTGGCACAAGGATTTTCACATACTCTCAGGTATTACTAAAATTAATCCACATCAAAATTGATTGGATCAATGAGTTTTGAGCCTAAATTTCGTATGAAAAAAATAAAAACTCATAAGAAAACAGGCACCATATTTTCAGATTGCTCCACGATGGAACCGAAACGCACCGATCATGGTGGGAACATTGATGTCTCAGGATCAGCAAAGAGGCTCTCTTCCCAGGTCTAGAGAATCCCGCTCTCAGGGTCAGTTGTTGTCATTACTGTATTTCAGAACACCTTCGTAAACGCCACTCTGAATCCTAGAAAAGAAATTAAGTGGAAGGGCCCCATCAAAGTTGGCCAGGAAATGAGCTGTGCTCATCAAAATACCTGCTAAACCCGAAAACAAAACACATACGGAAAAGGGGCCTTTCTGCTCATTCTCGATTCAGGAGAGTAAACTTCCCCGAGTCATTGCTGTGGATGTTTGATCGATTAAAGTGAAATATGAACGTTTGGTTATCAATTACCCGAATTTCGGTTTGGATGCACAGATACCACATACTTCCTCGCCAACCGTTGATTTTCTCATTTTTTCAGGCCACTCTAGATCTTCTGTGTGAGGTTCACCTCTGCTGGTCATGTACGGTCAAACGCGGCCACGAAATCTGTTTTCTGGTGACGTCACCTGCTTCGAAAGGACGGTACCGCTTGCCACTCAACAAATGGCTTTTGCCGGTTTTGAAAAAGTGAGTCGTTACAGACTGCGCCATGTTTTCTTCCGACCATCAAATGATAAAGGCGATTGTGAGAATATTCGGGAGTAAAGTCAGAGTCTGCAGAACTGCAAACTATTCATATAGTTGTAAGATCATTACAATAGTCCCACAAACTGGAAGGGTCAATAATACCAAGCATCCCCGTGGCGGAAGCATTTTGTAAATGTCACTACGTCCTTGAAAAAGACACAGCTGCTCTCTCGTTTTAGGGCTGATCAGTCTCCTCATGGTATGCGCCATGTATTCGACTTCCATCCAGGGATGTAGTTTTGTTGTATGAGATTTCACCTATAACATGACTTACGACAGCCAGCTCATGTTTCACTAAACGTTTACATGATCCATGAGATGGCCGAAACCAAGTAGTCAACCCAGTAAGAACGGTGGGGTTGGTAAACTCCGAACCTTCGACAGTCCAAATTCTCGAGCCCCTTGCCTTTTAGCTGCTGCGCCACCAATACTCTATAACAACCCCTACACAAAAGTGACTATTTTCAGGCAGAAACACTCATACATAATAAGACACAGCTTGATGGAGTCGATATCCCAGCCGTAGAGGTAGTCTTCTCTCTGAATAAGAACTTCAAACGCGAGAAGCATCAGTGGATCTACAGCGAGGCGTCCAAAGTGAGTCTTTTTTCATCAATTTAAGCAATAGTGTCGTAATTTTTTTTTGGAAATCGGAAAATCAAATCTAAAAATTCTGGGAACACATGTAAACAGCTCGGCGTTAGTAGTCACGCGCTTTCATTCAGAGACAATTTTTTGTCAGTAATTCAAAGGTCACGACCGCGTGCGGTTGCGTCACGGAAGGGTGAAAAGGATCAATACCGACCGATCGATAATGGAGAGCAGCACTTTTCTACGCGGGGTTTCCAAAATCTTCTAGACCAGGACAAATGCCTTAAACCCAAGTCCAAAATCCTTGAATACGATTGTTAGCCCATAAACGTTTTGATAATCTTCTCCCATCTTATCACGACCATTTTCAAAAAAAATCGTCGGTCCTGGAGTGAGTTCTTGTAAACGAATGAACCCTTCCCTCCCTTCCTCTAATAATCTTTACAGCTTATCGATTTTCCAATAATTGCAGGTCATTTCCTTGATGACTCAATGGACCGGCTTTCCGTATCCTTAGAGGCTTTGAGGATCATCTCAGCTCCTATCCAGGCCTCGTCTCATTCCTCTCTTGGTCTCATCACCCTTCAGGTATAACTACTGTTTTATAAATATTACGCCAATATGAATTGGGAACCAATGAATGAAAAATTCCTCCATTCATTATCTTCAGGACCGACTCGTCGAACATCCTTCCTATACGTTGGCGCACGTGACACTCACCCACTCGGTCATCCAACAGTGGCTCTCGGGTGTCATCAACGTGGCAAAAACTGATGAGGCGTGCTTTGCGGTGAGTTACGGTGCTTTTTGCTCGAAAGTCCTGGGAACAATGGCCCAGCTCTAAATGGGTGGGTAAGGACGAGAAATGAGCGAGTACAGCGGATGGTGCAGTTTCAGCCGAAGCTTGGCAGAATTCCTGAAACACCGTCTCCGGAACGTAATTTCAGGGATGAGTATGGGAAGCAGCACAAAATGAGGGCAATTTTCTCTCCAATCAAATCTCTATAAACTTTTCCCAACATTTTTCAAGCTATTTTCTCGACCAGCTTGTGGGTCATTGTGGCTGAACTGGGGCAGTGGTAAGGACTGCCACCACCACATAAATTAGCCATGGACCTAATCCCGTCCACTTGGACCAACTGAGCGTTTCATCTGCCCAGAGTCTGTTAGCCGGTACCACTTCTGCCGGTGTGCGAAAAACGACCGACTACTATGGCGTCGACCCAGCATTGTAGACCAATCATACCCGATAAGTCCGAGCCTGCCCAATCTTGCCAATATCATTGCGAGAATGTAATGAAAGACGCGCTGCTAGCATAAAAATCCCAAGAAATCTGTGAGTTAGAATCGAATGCGTTGCCATTCCTATAAGGAGATCGATGGCAAGGAATCGCATAGGCTGCTTCAATCCATGCACACTGCTAACCACGACTTATCTCCGTAACTGATCACCCCGTACCTTGAGCCTGCGATCCCCATTGGGACACGAAAGTGCAAGTTTCTTCCCAAGTGAGATTGGAGTGCAGCAAATTGTTTATGCCTCACCAGTGAGTGATTGTAATAAGCGCGCATATGATGCATCGTATTTCGCATAATCTTCCAACACCTCGACAACTGTTCGATTCGGTCCCTGATCGTCAGCACCGCGTGTCACGAGAAAGGGCACGGGCACTGATTCGGGAATATCTCCGAGGGAGTGACATGAGAGTAAAGTTCGAGGAGCTCGAATCTGCTCTGCAAGACCTAGAAGAAACGTCGCACTGCAGGAATTGAGGGCTGGGACATATGATCAAATGATCAAAGTATCCAAACAGCAGGAGGGCAGCCATTTTCAGATAACACTTCGAGCAAATTTTTCTGTATATCTGCGATGAGACGTTGTCCTTGAGTCGTTAGGCAGCGGTTTTCGAATTT